CAGCCACTTATTAAGCCCATTGTATATATATATATATATATATATATATATATATATATATATATATATGGGTTGGCGGCTTTCGCTTCTGTATTTGCATGTCAATGGCATCTACATTGGACAAGCACAGGACGCGTAGGTCTTCAGAAGGACCATGGGCGGCTTGAGTTAAACCACTCGTAGCTCCATCCACACGCCCTGTAGCATCTTTAAACCCGAAGGAATAAGACCGGTAGGTGTGTCGATGGAAACCGACCCACACTTGTTCAGCAGGCACAGCAGCATTCTTCTCGCTCTAATTTGAGTATCATGCTTACCAGATTTACTCAACTAGTGGCATGGTGTTAGCACGTTGTACGCTGGATGCATGGAACTATCCTTTGCGTCTAGCACCGTCAGGAAACCTGTATCTTGAGCTACCCTAAGCCACTACTGAGTGACTGCAGATACCGACCTCCGGTCAGTTATTTTGGATGGGTCGTCAAACTCACTTTGTGTTGGATTTCTTCGTTCATTGGAAATATTTCGTGGAAATATAGATGTAATCCATTTTCGTTCCTGATTCTGAATTGTAAGACTGGAAGTGCTTGTGTTTTCGTCGCTCGGGTTCGGCGATCTTGCTGGCACCAATTTTTCCGGAAATTAGCCACAATGGTGTTTTCGGATTATTTACAATGACGGAGCAACTACCCCGTGGTACTTGTTCCAAGATAGTCGGATACCGTGCAAATGTCCTCACGTGTGTCTTGTGCCAAGTTAAACACCACATTTCATGTGTTGGATTATCTGTTGAGCATTTTCACCGTCTTCGTGAAATCCGACACGATTTCGTTCAAGCTTTACATGCAAGTTGTCGAAACTAGATATGGCCAGTAAGAGTAAAGCCGAAATGTAGGCTTCATCATTCCGTTGCTAACAGCTCCGTGTGTTTGTGCCAATAACCTAGCCCGAGGAGCCTTCAGGTTTCAGCACAGCCTTCGTCCTTTACCCGTGCAAACTCACCGGCACGAAGTCCAACCGTTGTGAGAAGCACAGTTTCACCTGGCATAAATTGTTAATCTTTGTTTTGTCCAACGACCACTGATTTCCCGACAGGTGAAAGTCTGGTTGCTGAAGACCAGTGGAAAGAACAACGAACGAAATCACGAAGGTAGGTTGGGCTTTTAACTTCTGTAAGTCAACGGTTAGCCGAACCACGTGAGGCTGTTAATATACTTCGCCCTGCAAGGTCAACATCTTCCGACCAGAGGCGTTATAACCTCGTCACCTTCCACCCGCCGGGGTCCAGTGATCCAGCAACCCAAGTACGCTACGGTCACGATGTCCTTTTTGCAGAGTCTAATTGACAGACTTCCGATGCTGGTGAGGACTCGGTAAATGTGAGGCAAAGTACCCGTCTTGTAAACAAAGGTTATCAAACTAATCGGTCCATGTGAATTACTTTGGTGGACGCAGCCGGTCCTAGACGTGTCATGTCCCGCCTAAGTAGGCAGAAAGTTTTGACGGTCCATATTCGTTTGGACCTGGACCTGTTAGTGAGGTAGCAACTCAAGCCTGCCATCATCGGGCTGAAAAGACGTACCGATGTAGGGGAAACAAATCATTGTATCATAAATTTTCGGATGGTTTCCAGGAACATGTGAATCAAGCCAAACAGGATGGTCACACTTCAAGCATGCCTGGCGGCGCATGCTGTGGTTTGATACTAGCTTTCACGCATGTCTGCAGCGTTATGAACAAGCGCAAAGAGTTTGGTTGTTTCCTTGCGTCTGAGCGGCCAGACACAATGGGACCCGCAGAGACATGCTTTCATTCATTTATATACCCAGGAACGTGAACTAAACAGTTACTAGTGCTTCTAAATTGAGAAAATAACAAATGACGTGGTGGCGTCTTGCTTTACAACCAGTCTTCTCTGCGTAGGAGACTTGGGATCACCTACCGAAGCGGCAATGGTTTTTGTGAGCTACGGTGGTGTTCCAACCACCTCAGACGCGGAGGGCTACTTGTGGGCGCAGTCTATCGCAGCTCCCGGAGTCGTTGTTTGGAATAGCTGCCCCATATTTGAACCCACAAGAGTCGCCCACATATTCTACTTATGGGTGTGTTTTACGGTCTTCAAATACGATGGCCTGATGTGCAGTTGATGTCTGGACATAGTGAGTTTGAAGCAAACTTCATGAAGTTGGTACGTGCAACGGCCGCAACTCATTACATTTGCCAGCCAACACGCATAACATCACGCTCAACCCCTTCCTGTCCCGACCTGATGTTAACGCGCTACGAATAACGCGTGCATGACTTTCAACTCATGGAACCCCTGGCTACAGGCGACCACTCAGTGCTCATAGCTGATATGGAATGATATTTGACTTGGTCGCGTCCGCTGGAATCAGCTTACAACTGCTGGAGAACGGCGTTCGACGGTCTAAGTTGAGACGGGAGTTAACTGGATTGGTCTCTGTCACAAGCTGCATCTGTAAAAGACAGTTGGATATTTATACTTGAGTGATTGGCATCATTGTGCTCCTAATGTTTCCCTTTGAAAGCTAGGAACGTTGGGCCGATTTAGTCTTATTGGTTTGACAAAGAGTATGGAACTCTGGCAGGAAGACGGCACAGACTGTGGACAGATACCTCCTCTCTGGCACTGCTAATGACTACGAAGGGTATACAAGTCAACGGAACCTATGCAACAGTGAAAAGAGCAATAACTGTCGGCAGTTCGAAGAGCAGCTCGCATTCGCCGCGAAGACCGTGCCAAAGAGAATCTTTGCTTTTGTGAGGCGACGCGGGAAGCCGACAGGTTATGTGCCAGTGCTGGATGGTTCGGATGGACAGCCCCTAGCCTCCATCACTGAGCTTGCGACCGTGTTGGCGGCGCACTTTGCTTCTATTTTGCAAATGAGCAGGTGTCGGTTCCGAGTTCAACGTGTACCAAGTTCAACGAACCCGACAGTCTAGATTGCGGCGTTGAAGAGGTAGGTCAAATACTCATAAGCTTTGACGGTACCAAACCTGACGGACCTGATGGGCTTCACCTATTTATTCTCAAGTCACGTTCGACCATCATCTCTGCTGTCGTGACTGACATTTTCTACCGGTCGCTGTCCGAAGCTTCGTTGCCGTTTGACTGGAAAGGTTCGGTGGTGAAGCCTATTCCGAAAGGCGGCGACTCTAGCAAAATAGACAACTACGGGCTAATTTGTCTGGCACCTATTTTGACAAAGTTTGCGGCGAAAATCGTAAAAAAGAATTATTGCAGTTGCTACAGTTAAAAGAGGTCGTGGTGCCTGCACAGCACGATTTTATGCAAGGCTGCACATGTATTACAAATTTGCTTGCGACAAGCCACGTGTGGTGCAAGACCATAAACAAGGGGAAGTCTACCGACGTCAGCGATGTCATCAATTTCAGTAAAGCTTTGGACAAGGTCAGCCATGAGGTTCTCCTTCACAAACACAGGATGCGTGGTGTTGGTGGCTTACTGTACCGGTGGATCCGCGACTTCCCTGTACGTCGAAAGTGGTGGGTACAAGTCAACGATCATCTAACTTACTGGCATCCACCTATAAGTGGCGTGCCTCAAGGCATTGTGCTGGGGCCCACTCTGTTCCTGATCCACAGCAACGATCTACCGCAGCTTCTCTGGTCGCCGTGTGTCTTGTTTGTGGACGACATGAAGATTTGGAGAGAAACTGACGCTGCCGGAGACTGTGGCCTACTTCAGCTAGACCTCAACTGCTTATCCACATGGTCTGCCGGCGTTAATCTCCTGGTCAACCCAGTCAAGTCTGTAGTTATGAGCCTGGGGAAGGGTACTGACGGTCGAATCTCCACCCCTGATGGCCAACCGCTTTATCTCACACCCTCCGTGAAGGACCTAGGTGTACGCTGGAGCTACGCTTTGAAGTCTGTGGACAACACGAACCGTCTATATCGTAACGGACGTTGCATGCTTTGGGCGCTCAAACATAGCTTCGGCGCATGGTCTGAATAGGTTGCCACTCGCCTCATCTCCTCCATCATTAGATCAATTCTAGAGTACGGCTCGACCGCCTAATTGCCGATTACCCGAGGCGAGGCACAAACGATCGAACGGGTCCAACACGTTGCTACCAAGCTCATCCCGAGTTTACGTGACTTGGGGTATGAAGACCGGTGCGAGAAACTAGGACTCTACACCTTGTCCTACCGTCAGGTGCGAGTCGACCTCATTATGACCTATCGTATTCTACATCACGGTGAATTCCCCATGTTGAGGCCAATGTTGCACTTACGGTGGCCATGCAGCACACGCGGACACTGATACAAACTTGTCATGCCGGATGTGAAACATGTTCCCCACCCACTGTGCTTCGAACGGAGAGTGGTAAACATTTGGAACAGTTTACCCGAAAATGTGATGGAGGCAACATCTGTGCAGCAGTTCAAAACGTTGTTAGATTTGTATTTTGCCACTATTCGATTCAGAGAACGACTGCACACTTACGATGAATTATCCCATTTGTGAGTCCTGCAATATCGTGAGTAAGATATTTTAGATGGTACATGAGAACGACGATATTCACGGCTGACGAATTTTATTACGTTTTTCACCATATTTCGAAGGAGTTGTACATGCTGTATAATACAGGATTCAGTATATATATATATATATATATATATATATATATATATACATTCAGTTATTTTGATATTTTTACCTGTATTAGGTTACAGTTTATACCGATAGATCCACATCGAGATCCTTTTTAGAAGCGAAGTTCCACATCAGCGAAGACAATCCACGACAGACATTGAGTGTATCAGAAAATGAAGGAGAATTTGCTGCTAAGTCGCCAAACACTATTGCAAACAAATGGCATAACTAGGGTACATTGTATAATCAACTAAAAACCACGCTCAGCATAGCGCTAACAACTAGCCGGAGAAGACCAGGTGCAGAATGAAGCAAGTGCACTTAAGTAGAATTGGTTAGGAAAACGTAACTAGAAAAATTATGGGAAGTAAATACAGCGCTCACTTTCATCGATCATGGCCAGAATACCCAAAATCTTCACCTGGACAACGGAGCCGCGAGTCAGAACTTTTGTTCCTATCTCGCAAACATCAATCGGATCATTATCACCCTTCGCTTCAGTGTGTGAGTCGATGTGCCCTGGATCCTCCCACGTTTGTGGAAGTGCCCCATAATTCCAAATGTAACCCTTGTAGGGAAATACGTTGTCCACATATCGAAGCCGATCTTTCTTCACATCTTGTTTAATTGGGTTCATATACTCCCCCTTGCAGATCTCCATTTTCGCGTTCGTCCATCGCGGAATCTCGACAAGCATGTTAAAGACATTATTTTGTTTGTCCGAATGCAATGGGATGTCATGGAATGGTGAGATCGGACCGGAGCCACACTCTGAAGGAGAAAAGAAAAAAGGTGGGTAGATGGAATAACCGCACAGAATCGAGGATGCAGGCGAATAGAACAATGAATACCTAACTGATATACATGGTGAAAAAAGCAGTTCTTGTCCAAAAATTGAATTACAAGCAAACTCGTGCTAAATGAAATAGATTAAGAAGGAATGAAAACAATCGGTGTCTCTACTAACTGGCTGCAAAATCCAAAAAGCGAAGTGACGCTCTATTTTAAGGTGGTGACAAGACTTAAGCTCTTTCATTTCAGTGAGCTAGATTAGATAGCACTATCAAATCCGTTCTGTGAATTAAATGAGATACGTGTGACGAAATGCGATGGGGACAATTAGCCGGACATGTGTCACGAGAGTAATAATCAGAATGAGCAAATAACAAGACCGCCAAATGTAGTACTTGATGGTTGGAAATAACAGATTGAGTGTATGAGCCCCAATGACTTAGTGGGTGTGCGATATTGTGAAAAGTGCCTGGCTAGAGAAGCGATTTGCTAAACTTGTAGGAAGGCAGGACATTTCACGTGTGTGTGTGTGTGTGTGTGTAAATCGAAGCCTGTTAATATCTTCGTCATTTCATTCCTACGCCCGTTCCTATCTTCCGTTCCAACGGCTGCTGCTTCCAGCTGTTTGTTTGTTTCGCACAACAACCAAGCTCATTGATAACCACAGCGACAGTTTTGACAACTTTGTTTTTCAATCTGTTGTCGTCTCCCACCAATGAACCGTCCATACCTGTCAGAAATCATGGAGGCTTCTACCTTACCGCCACGTGCTATTACCAGATTTGTGATGTGCAAATTCGCAACCAGGACGTTGTTTATAACGACGTTCAGCTCTTTTTCATGCGCAACCTATATGCCGATGTCTTGTTTGGTTGTGATCTTTATGAGTTGCGGAACCAAGAAGAAATGTTGTTTGGTGAAGGACTCGGTACTTGCTTGTTGTTTGGACTCACAATAACCAAAACAGAATCACTCCCCATGTTCGTCCACTTACTATACGACAACGGACTGTCTGCCCTAAAATCTCGGCAGGAGTTACTTGATGAGCTCCTCATCAAAGTCGAAATACAAAGTCTTTTGAACGAAGACATAACGAAACCGTCAAACATCTTTTAAATAACGCGAGTAGTCATAAAAAATCATCATTCGTCAACAACAGCAGTATATTAGTCATCTGAACTGACGTTTCACTGCCACACAACGATGACCTATGGAATGAAGAATAATAAGAGGGAGAAGGGGGACTTAACTGAAAACCTTAATGCCCTAAGCAAACATTCAGGGTCAAGGCACCTACACCTTATGTTAACAACGCGCCGTCACAAACAGCTGGTTATCGTGCAAAGGCGGCATCAACGAAAAGGCTTGCTTGCGACTTTCACTGCCAGGCGTCATAATCAGCCATTACCCCGCAGATATCTTACCAACAAACATACTTTAAACAGGAACTCCGACTATGAGACGGCAGCAAACGCACAACTAGTGTCGATTGCAAGCTATGTCCTGTAAAGTTCCCGGCCAAGTACAAGGCGGGTCACGTGGATTCCAGCCCGGAAGGCAGGACGGACCAATGGCACCCCGTTTGGTCGTCAGTGATTTTATTTCCTAATGCCAAGTCAACTTTTGTCCACATCGAACCTTGCGACACCCTAACCCTGCCAGACTAGACAAGGCCTTCCTAGATAAGCGGTGACCAAGCATACGTAACAGGTGCCCAAGCCAACGCAACTTATTCAGTGCTATCAGTTGTTCTCAGGAACTAGCCTGGTTATCTCTGCTTAGTACTCGCCTACGCACATCACCGTTGCGGACACGCCAATGCAATCCGCCACCAGCAATGCTTCGCAGACAACAACGATCAAAGACTTGAAGACACCTCAAATCTTCAGACCGAGGAGGTCAACTCTCACTCCCATAGAGTAGGACGGCCATCACAGTGGTCTTGTACGCACGGCCTCTCGGACGGAGGGAAACTCTATTCTGTCGCCAAAGATGCCGAAGGTTCAAGAAGACAGTTCTAGCTTTTGCGATGCGTGAACTAATCTCAGTAGCTATACACCCATCGTTGCTAATGCAGCTGCCAGGGTAAGTGAATTGATTAACCACCTCGAATTGCTCGTTATCAAGGGTTTATGGGGTCATCAAGTGCCTGGTGTTCCTGCAGCGACACTTTGTACTTCGAAGGTGCGAAGCGTAAACCAAATAATGAGGCCAATCTAGAGAGGCTATTGCGGACTGATTGGGCCGCCGCAACATCGTCAAAAAGCAAGACGACATCGTCCGCAAAATCAAGATCAAACAACCTCTCACCAAGCAGGATCTCGACACATACATGGTGACATTTCGTAAGGGATATAAAAAATGAAAAACAACAGAAAAGGATGGCTGTAAATTACAGCCGAACGATCAATTGTCTCACTTTTCATGACGTCTATCCACCACCGTGAATCGGAAAAAAGTGGAGACCATTTATCGTTATGCTGTATATAGCACATAACACCTGAGAAATATTTGTCAACAGATCCCTATCGCTGAACTTGTTAGCTATTGTGCCGCAATACACAAGAAAAGAAGACGCAACAGAAGCACGCCAACTTGGGCACCAGTAACGGATGAGCACTGTTCCGGAGAGCTACCAGCTGACTATTGTGCCTGAAAAAAGTTGCTATGCCTAAGAAATGAGAATGCGGTTGTAGGGAGAGGATAAGTAGGAGAGGAAGGGACAAAGAAACTAACAACACAAAGGCCACTGAGCTCGGTTCCAAGCCATGTCAGCAAATGTATCCAGCCAAACGTGTTCATTGTCTTTCGGATCCAAAGCAGGGAGCCTAGAGGCTATGACCGAGGCCAACTACAAACTGAAGGCCTTCATCACTAAACATGAAAAGCCATACACTGATTTTATAGCTTATGGAAATCCTTTTCAATTTTGTCGTATTCCCTTTGGAATTACTAATGGTGAACGCAGTATTCAGCGCAGCATCAATGAAATAGTGAAAACGGAGAGTTTCCAAGAAGCTTTCGCTTAATTGACAAGGTGAGAGTATGCAGGGTCATAAAAGAAGCGCGAAAACAGAGGCAAAGCACAGCATTACTTCAAACGACACTAAATCCGTCTATGGGAAAATCCAGCTAACAGCTACAACACATCTAAGGCCCGACCTCAAAAGGACGAAGCGACTACGCCAACTTCCCTTCCAGCTGACCTGGGGACCCAAAAACGAGCTGTCGGTATGTTAGCTTACAACTACCCGTGGATTCCATAGTTTTCAGACAGTCAGTCCCCTGCTAAAGAACCGGGTGCTTCCTTCTCCATCGCATGTGGGAAGCGCATTCGAGCAGGTGAAACTGGCCTGAAAATGCTATGGCAATCGATTATAGTATCCCTTTGGTCACCGACATCATCATTATACACGTTAGCTAAAGGTGGAAAACATATCAGTTATTATGCCGCAATACAAAAGACAAGAAAGAAAAATACAGGGGCATGCCGGCTGAGTCCCCAGTAACGGATGGACATGGATCCGAAGAGCAAACAGCCGGCTATCGGGCCACAAAAAGTTATATTATGACTAACGAATGAGATCGTGATTAGAAGGGAGGCTAAGCAGGAGGGAGGTGGACAAAAATACGCACAACGCAAACGCCACTGGGGCCGGCTCCTAGCAAAATCAGCAAGTGTGTCCAACCAAACGCGTTCATCGTCCTTAGGACCCCAGGCAGGCAGTCGGGATGCACCAACCGACGCCAACTTTGAAGTAAGGGTTTCCATTTCTCTCGACCAAGTCATCGCTTGACCTCCCATCCTCCTCTTCCAACCGCACTCCCGGCGCGCATACAATGCAAGTCGCGGGAGTCGGTGTGGTGGCATGCGCAACAACTGGCCCAGCCATCGGAGCCTGGTGCGTGATATAATGGTGCTGAGCGGTTCACTCGCTCTTCCTGCGCCAAATACGCGACGCCAAATATACGACCACTGCTAACGCTGTGCTCCCACCAGACATGAGGTAAGCTGCGAACACAGCGATGATCGAATGTAAAGAACCCCTTTAGGTCTGTCGACCTGATGGGCTAGGTTTCACAACCATATAGGGCGAGGGTGATGTCGCGTATGCGCCACAGGTGACGGAGATTGGCAAAAGCACCGCGAGCATTTGTTACAGGTTCGTAACCTCATCTTCGAGCCCACGGGCGCTAATAAAGCTATCTTGATACTTGAATTCCCGAACGACTTCTAGCTGATCACCACAAAACGTTAGCACAGCGGTGAGTCCCTGCCCAGCTTGGAGAAGTACTTTGCATTTCCATGTAGCAAAGCATAGCCCAAAACGATGGACAGTTAGTGCTAATCGGCCCAGTATTGCATGACATGTTTGGGAGCTGTCACAGAGTAGGGCAACATAGTCCGCGTACTCCAAGTCAAGAAGTCGCTCACCAACCAGTAGCTTCACACCTTCTAGGTCGTGTCCAGCGAATGCTGTTTCCATGACTTTGTCAACTGCGAAGTTAAATAGAAAGGTAACAGCGGGCAACCTCGTATCACACCGATGGTGATACTGAAGGGTGCCGACAGTTTGCCATAAACCCTCACTCTGCCCGAACTATGCGCGTACAACACTTTGTAATTTTACGTATTTAGTAAGCACGTATTTCCGCAGCAGACAGTTCCAAAGGGCACATCGATCCACAGAATCGAAGGCACCTTTGATATCGAGGAACACAACGGTGGGTCGCCAATATATGTGACGGTGCTGCAACAATTGACGCAAGGTGTAGATGTGGTCGATGCAGCCTAGACGTCGACGAAACCCAGCTTGCAGTTCATGAATAGGATCTTCACGAAAGATAGTCAGTCAGTGGAGAATGAGAGGCAAGCAATTTAGAGGCCATTGGGATCAGACGGATACCTCTATGGTTGCCGCATTCCGAACGGAAGCTTCCCTTGAAATTTGGGACAATGACGGAGCGGCTCCAGTCTG